GAGTAGATGCCTTGAGCCACAATGTCACAAGTTGGCTCTTAACCTTCAGATCTTGATCAGACGGCTCATAGTTATATATCATTTCGAAGAAAAAATTGTGGCGTGCAAAGATCTGATAGGGGCGCACATGATAAAAATAATAATAAAATATTTTCGATGATGAAAAGTTACCATAATATTTTCGGTGACGGAATATTTGATTTTTATTTTATTTAGGTTCGCCCTAGTTTATGATGGGATGCTCAAAATTTCATCCAAAAATGTTTTGTATAAAAAAATGAAAAATAAAACAGCTTTTGGCGTGACATTGTGGCATGAACAATCGTAGCCATCAATTTTGAATCAAACATCTAAGAAGTGGGGTCACGTATAACTTCTATCTTGTTTGGGTCACAGAGAAAGCTTTCCCTATCCATTTTCACTTAGTTTATTGAATTAATAGAATAAGTCCTTTGTGTTATTATAATAAACTTCATGCGCGGGCAATTAAATCTTCCTTTGTTGGAAAATGACTTTCCATGTTGCTATGACTTTCTTAGTTTTATTAATGATGGTGATATCATTGTTGTCTCATTATGCATTTTCCTTTGATTGCAAGAGGAACTTGTTGATAGGAGTAAGTACTGGGATGACTTGGAGGAAGGGGAGGAATAGATGGAAGAAGAGGAATTGGAGGTTGGTATTCAATCAGGTTCCAGCTTCTCTAGGTCTCTCTCTCTCTGCTGTATTAATAAATTGAGTTTTTTAAGTTTCCCGTAGTAGGCCAACTGGTGTGAAGGCACTTGACGTCATTGATCTTCGAAAGCAATAAAGGAAAGAGCCAAGGAAGCCTATTGACCAAATGAGTACATTGAAAGATTTTGGGCACAATCTTCTAGTGAGCTACATTATTAGTCACCTTTTGATTACCATTTTATTCTCATGGAGTCCAATACTCTATTGCTCTTGTTCCAAATAAGGTACTCGAAGAGAAGGAAGAAAGGATTGCACCAGGAACCTTACTTGGAACAACGCACATGTATGTCTACACCTAACTAGCTGCTTATCTGACCATCATTTTCATGAATTTTAGGACTTCTTTTGTGCATTTTCTTATTTCTCATTGTGTGAGTTTTTTCTTTTTTTTTCCTTTTTGAGAGAGGGTTTCACGCAGGGAGACTCTTGATTAGCATTTAAGAACTTTTTTCTTTGGCCAGGTATGTGCTTGGGGCAATGGATAAAACTGGTGCTAAAAGGGTAAACACATTTATTCTTCTGTATGTTAGTGTTACTCCACAAGCACTTAATGATTTGTTGGCTAGATTTATATATGAAATTCTTTCGACCTCTTTTCAATTATCCTCCGCATTTTGCCATACTGATTCCACGTGATCCTTACCCAGGTTGAGCTACTACTAGGACTAAGTAGATGTCACTCTTTGGTTGGAAGAATTAGAGGCTTTGGATGATGTTACTATGGCAGCAAAGTAAGGTATTTTTCTTTTTTTATAATAGGAGCCCAGATTCTTGATGTGTTGTTTGATGCATGCATGCAAAGTTTTATGGGAGTGAGTTATTAATTATTGGGTGACATGCTTCATGTATGAGGAAGCAAGGGAAGAGGAGAAACTATGAAATCAACGCAAAGGACTTTAGTGACATTGTGGCAGAGGTTTGTTCTGAGTGCATTCTAGAGTAGGTTGGAATTTTTGTTCGTGTTGTTCTATGGGTTTCAGTTTTTAAAAAAAAAAAAATTGAACTCTATGCAGGCTAAGAAAAAGAGGAATCGCAAGATGTAGGAAAAAGAAAGGGAAGGCAAATAAGAAGGATTTCAAGTTTTAGGCACAAAGCTATACATCAAATTTGCATGCTCCCCCTCCCCCATTGGATATATTCTGTTTGGGGAATATACTATGAACTCTGAAATTTGAAATATCTGATACATTGGAAGTTCTTATCGATATGTAAAATGTGAAGTTCTTTGGTTGATCTTGAGCCCATCTTGGTTCGATTAATAAATGGACAAGGCAGCTAGCTACTATTGAGGTAGGAGTGATGTTTAAAGGGAATTTGATTAGTGAATCCATTATGAGATCGTCAAAGAATCTTAACAGTGCCTGAAGTTGGTGGAAAGTTAGAAGTTGTTTTATTTTCTTTGTTTTCACCGTCTAAAGGAGCATTATTATCAGCATAAAGGAGCATTATTATCAGCATAAGATATATCCATTGTTCTCACAAAATAATGGGTAGCAAGCCAGGGAATAGTAAAATATCGGCAGATCAAAATATTGGTAAGAAATCGATTTTATTTCATAAGGTCGGAGGAAAAAAATCAGTTAAAAAATATGGATCACAAAAAAAAAAAACGGTGAGTTATAGAGTCATGGATATTGTGAATTTGGCTAAAAAAAAGTAGTAAAAAAACCAGAAATGCAAAGATCATAGTTGCTAAGTCTCCATTTAAAACATGATTTTCTAAATAAATATCTAATTTTTTTAAATCCGTTACGAATCTTGAGTTTTTTAGAAGATCTTCAAAAAATTGCTTTTTTAATACTACTGATATAAATTTGGATTTTATCTTTTTTAAAAAATACTTATTCCTTGTAACTTTATTTATTTATTTATTTATTTATTTAATATTATTAAAAATTGGTTTAAAGAAAAGTAAAGTTACAATAGGAGTAAATTGAAAATCTTGATTTAACAAAAAATACCTTT